GCAGATGGACCGAGGACACTGCTGAGGGGAGCAGTGGGCGAGGCAGGAGAAGTCTGCCACGCCATGTGGGTTTCTCCCTGGCTGGCCCGGGATCGAACCCATGCTGCAGAAGCTGTGGACAGCTTCACCGCACAGCACTCAACCCGCTGCGCCACCGGGGAGGCCCGAGATAGTTAAAAAAAAAGAAAAGAAAAATGTTAGTTACAGCCTTTCCTGGTGGCACAAGGAGTTAAGTGTCAGCACTATGAAGCTATCTGCAGCCATTGCAGCACAAGTTCAATGCCCAGCCAGGGGCTAACCCACAGGCACAGCAGACCTCTTCTGTCTGGCCCGCTGATCCCCTCAGCAGTATATTTTATTCATCCCACCTATTCTGCTCCCCACTCTGTTTCTGGTGAATTCTCTCAGGCCCACACCTCTGGCCTACAACCTAGCTCTTGTATGCATAAATTTTAAAAAGCTTTAAAAAAAATGTTAGTTATGTGACTTTCTAGATTTATAGTTTAACTCTCTTGCAACTAAAATCAAATTCCTCATAAGAGTCTAACTCTTTGGAAAGTGAAGAAAATGCCTCCATAATGCATGCTCATCAACAAACCTGAAAGTGTAACAGGGTGGTCCCCAGGAAAGGGGGAGGTTCCCTGCCCCACCCAAGGGAGGGTGGAGCTGAGCAGGAAGAGGAGAAGCTGGAGAAGAGACTAAGGAAGGAAGCAGGATGGAGAAGGAGACCTGGAGGAGGCACATGGAGCCTAGCGACACGTAAAGAAACTGCGCTTGTCTTTTGGTCGTGGACTGGGTGACACAGATGTGGGTGAGAGACCCGTGGGGAGGTGACAATGGCAGCTTTTATCTTGATGTTGATTTTGCTCTTTTCCTTCCGGGTTGTCCAGTTGTTTGTGACCCTTTTCTGTGGGTTCCCTCTGGAAGATGCTTTAGACTTGTAGCAGGCTTTGGGGCCTTGTTCTGGGCCAATCCCATTTGGATGGACTTTTACCCACGAGGGGACGGGTAACTCTGGATGCTTCATTTAGAAACTAGACTCTTTGCCTTACCTGTATTGTTTCCTAGTTTTATTAAATTTCCTTCCCATGAAAGTCTCCTATGTTTTGTGTTGATGCGGCGGATGGCAGAACCCATTTAGAATAGGCAGGTTTGCGGGGTTTGGGCTGCCCCTCTCCCTGTCCTATAACAGATTTGGCGTCCAACGTGATTTAGGACAGAGCCATCCGTGGCCCTCTCCCTGTCCTATAACAAAAGGGCCTCCTGGTGGCACAGGGTTTGTTAAATTTTCAGCACTACCAAGCTATCACTGTGGCCTGAGTTCAATCCCCTGATCCCCAGCCAGGGAGCTGACCCACATGGCGCAGCAGACCTCTCCTGTCTCGCCCGCTGCTCCCCTCAGCAGTGTATTTCAGTAGATCTGCCTGTTCTGCTCCCCACTCTGTCTCTGGTGAATGCTCTCACTTCCAGAACCTCTGGCCTGTACCACAGTTCTTGTATGCATAAATAAATAAAAATAAATCTTTTTTTAAAAAAAAAGCTGAAAAAGGAAAATGTTAAGAAGCAGAGTGTTGCCCTGAGAAAAGAGGCTTTGAACAAAATGCCAGAAATGTACTGGCCCCTCATGTTGAGTCATGGAAACAACATGACAAGAATTGAACTATAGGGCAAAAGTCACTATGGGTTTAGAATCATTTATAAATGACTTAAAAGTGTATTCATTTCAACAGCATCAACAAACATTGGCCAACAGTGGCATATACATCTGAGAGGCACGTTATTTATTCACAGCACAGGCCAGGCCCTGTTCGTGTGTATAAGGATTTCCATGCGCGGACTCTGTAGTCCCCTGGTGCTGTAGAGTCCATGGTTCAAGAGCAATTGTCTCAAACTTGACTCTGCAAAAGAATCATTTAAGAGCTTGTTTGAACACCTTAGGCCCCACCTCAGAGAGTCTGATAGAGGGCAGGAATCTGAATTCTAAATATCCCATGTGATTACAGTGAGTTCTGAGGAGAGTATAGAGCTCTGGGGATTAGCATTCCCGACTGGCTCCTCAGCATTCTCTTCCAAGGATCTCTTTCCAATCACCTTCTCTTTGTTCCTCACAGTTCTGGGCTCCTTTAGCTGGAGTGTTATGCTGATATCACAAAACAATGTGTAGGGAAATCTCTGAAAGTTAAGCGTAAGGACTGTTTTCTTTAAAAAGCAACAATATGTATGTGCGTTTTAAGGTCTTAATTTTGACACTAAAAATAAAAGGAATTTTAACTAATTTAGAGTAAACCTTTGCTCACAAATGATACAGAGATTATGCTCAAGTGGTCTGGCTTGAAAATTGGCTCCATATAGCGCAAATATAATTTAAGCTATTCTTGACAGGAGAAAAAATTATTAGGCCAACAGCCAACAGGGAGGCAAAGCAGAAAATGTTGATTTATTTAGAAAATATTGTAAGACAGGACCACAAAACCAGAAGAGCCCACCAGCTTCCCCCATCCGGAAGTCTCCCTAGAGTCTTTTAGGGTCCCATATATGGGAAGGAACTGAGTTAGAATGCCTGGATAAGTCGCTTTCTCCTATCCTTTATTATCTTCAATGCCCACAAGTAGAACGTTTTCCCAAATTAAATGAAGAAAAGTATGGCTTTAATATTTTCTCAAACTATTAAGTTTACCTCATTTGTCTGTCTCTTCTCTGTCTCTGTCTCTCTGTCTCTCTCATTTCTCTCTCCTTTCAATATCTCCCTGACTCTCCCTCCCTTCTTTTCTCCCTCTCTGTCCCTCCCTCTCTCTTACCCCTCCCCTCTCCACTTCACCACACACAGAAACCCCTTTTCAAAGGGGCTTTTTTCCAACTCAGTGAAGTAAAGTCTTTGCCCCTTTGTGGGGAAGGCTCATTAACATTCCCACAGCAGCATCTCTTCAAGGATTTTACTTTTGTAACTCTGTGGGGAGGTCAAGAGGCCACAGTGGAGAGGTAAAAGGGAAAAAAATGGTAAATGGGGGAGGGCGGAAGAAAGGAGAGGAGGGGAAAGAGTCCTTCCTTTCACAATAAGGCCAGCAAGAAGGAGGGTAGGAAAAAAATAGGAAAAGACAAGACAGACAAAACCTAGGAAAGAGACAAATAGTAGACTCCCAAATCTGCCCTTGGAGTCTTCATAGACTCCTGAGAAAAACAGAAAGCTCTATTCCTTCCCTCCTTACTTTTTTCAAAGAAGAGGTCATGGTGAAAACAGCAGGGACGAGAGGGCCTAGCCCACTGAGAAATGAGAAGCTTTCCTGCCCTGGTGTTCCTATATCTCCTACAATAGCCCTGCAATCGCTACACCTGTCTACCACAGGGGAGTTGACAGGATGAATTAGACAATGTTAGAAGAAGTTTCAAGGGTGAAAATATAAGGGAGCCTCCTAGGGTCCTGACCCCAAAGGACTAGGATAATAATGGAGAGTCAGTGAACGCCAAAGCAAAGATTTGAGTGCTTCCCAAATTCTCTTCAGCCGTGCGTACCTGTCTCATTTCTCACCAGCAACCCTCCTACCATCTGTTCTGTATTCCCCTCTTAGTATTGCTGAACTAACCTGGATTTGTCTGAGGGAAAAAAATGAAGGCAACCTCAAGCTTATACCCTAAAATGTGAGTGAACCCTGCTTTGCATTTCTCTGAAGACATAGGGACCAGCGATTTACATCACTAAACTCCAAAGGGGAAAATAATTCCCCCTTTCCTGATGGTGTTTCAATGTTCTCTCAAATCTCAGCAGAAGAGTAAAAGGTAAATAAAGTTAAAAGAACAGAATTTAGGCACTATAATTAGAAGATAGGGCATCTCTAAGCTCAGCAGCGTGGCATTACTCCAATTCAGGTGGACACATAAACAATAAATGAGTCTCCCTTGAGGGTGCATGCTGAGAGGGAAAGACCTGGTTGGTTGCCAAAGGATGTATTTTAGAGATGGATTCATAAAGGTCCAACTTCATCCACATGGAAATTCTTTCAATAGAATTCTTGAAATTGTTTTCAGCCTGTGTAAGAACATGTTACAAAGAGTCCACCACACTATCAGAAAGTTCCTTCATATTGAGCTATAAGTGCCTCCTTGTAGATTTTACCCTGGGCGTAGCATGAAACTCATCTACCCTGACCGAGGAATTCATCACCCTGTGGACCTCTTCCACCCTGGGAGCTGGACAGGAGAGGGAGAGACAGAAAAGCCACTGACATTGTTGCTATTTTTAATTAGATTCCTTAAAATCACTTTCTTTTCCTGCTAGGAATCTGGTGGCATATTGCACCACTGACAATGTAGGGGGAAAATGTACCTGGCTAGGTGCACCTGGCTTCCAGGCTCCTGTCTGTGACATCATAGCTGTGCAAACTTGGATAGATAGATTACTTAACCTCACTGAGACTCTGAGTTCATTTATGAAGGGATCATCTATAAATCAGAATAGTAAAACTTGCCGTGCTGATCTCAGACACATGTCACACGCATTAAAATATTCTATAAATTAGAGTTATACATCAGTAATTACTGATGTATAATGACTGCCCATCTTTGCTCAAATCTTTATAGTCAACCTTTCATATCCTCATTTTCCATTGGGACTAACTGACTTCTTGGCTTCAAAATCAGAATATAACAGAAAGTGCTTAATTCCGTTTATACCCCAGAACAAGTCACTTTACCAATCAAGATGTCCCAGAATGATGAAAGACCCAAAAGTACCGCGAAATCTTGGCAGAAGAGTTAAAAAACAAAAACTAGGGCAGAGCATTTTCTAAACAGACAGCACCGGGAGAGGCCCGGAGCCCTAGGCAGGGAGGAGAGGGTTAAATCCTCCCCTCTGCAGTACAAAAGAAAAGAGTGTGCGGAAAGATTAGGATTTTTGCTTTTACAATGGGAGCTTCAGAAGCGTAGGGAAGAAGCTGGAGAAAAAAAAGGGGGCGTCTCCCCTTTAAAGACTTGCAGAGATTGAGAGAGAAAGAGAGAGAGTCAGGGACGGAATCGGAGAGAGCGCGCGGGCTCGGGCGCACGAGTTTGTCTGTCTGTCTGTCCCTGGGAAGAGAGCGCGTCTCTGCTGCACAGTGATTTGCACAGGGGGAGAGACGTCAGTTGGCTTCAGACCCAAGGGGGCCACCAGATCTGGTCACCCCGGTTAAGACTAAGTGAGCGTTGCCCCTCCCTACCCCACTTCTACCCGGGAATGTCTCGGCGAAAGCAGCGGAAACCCCAACAGTTAATCTCGGACTGCGAAGGTCCCAGCGCGTCTGAGAACGGTGGGTGCCTGGGGAGGGGTGGGGAGCCCTGAGTCCCAGCCTGTGAGGGTCAGGCCAGGGCAAGGGGAGGGCAGCCGGGCCAGGGGTGAAACCGGGGGGAGGACCTGGTCATCGGGGGTTTGAAGGAGTTGAGATGCAGGGAGTAAGATGACCTGTGCGGGGGAGAAGTCCCACTTGGCTTTTCTCTGGAATGATTCTGTTTGTGTTTTGCTCGCTGTTTTTCTCTTGATGAAATGGAGTTTTCAAACTGGCTCTGTCTCCCCACCCAAGAGTTTTCTCCCCAGGTCCCCCTTCGCTCCCTGGTCTTTGTGCCGTTGCTAAGTAACGTCCTCAGACCTGAAGACCGTCTCTTAGGGGTGGGATTCCTCCCCACACACGCTTTTTTTTTTTTTTTTTTTTTTTTTTTTTTCTTTTTCCCCTTTCTGGAGAGTTGGGTTGCAAGAGAATGAATTGGATAAACGTGAAGGCTTCCCTGAGGGAAAAGAGAAAAAAGTTGCTCATTGTTGAGCTGAGCTGAGAGCAGAGAAGAGCTCCCAGAGGGAGAGGGCTAATGTCGGTCAGGGGCTGTCTGCTTTGGGGTGTGGATCTGTGTCACCTGGGGTAGAGGCATTTCAGTTCGTGCTTCGGCAAGCCAAGCTAAAAACAAAAAAGTTTGAGTTAACGTGCCTGCTCGTAGATGCATGTCACTTTATGAGGATATTATTGTCTGTTTTTTAAGTAACAGACTTCTTTATGAGGAGGAAAAAATTTCATGTATTGTTATAACCTTCCAGTAAATAAGAGACAGACAATGGAGGAACCAAGGTATTGAGAAGTCACATTGCCCAAAGTCTCAGAAACAGAGGAACAGTAAGGACAAAAACCTAGGTTTCCTGATGCTTAAAGTTTTCCAAATTGCTTGATCTGGCCTAGAAACTGGGATTCTGTATCTTTTTGCAAATATCTGGGTTGTTCTTAGGATTGAGCAAGTTTGGGACATGTTAGTTGTTGTGGCTGCACATGTGCCTACTGTGCAAATCTGAAAGTCCTGGCTCAGGGATAAACTACTGGATTTATTCAGCAGACCATTGATTTACCCAAGCACAGCTGTTCAGGAGCCAGACTTTCAGAATTTAAATCCTGGCTCCACAATTTGATCAGCTGGTGGTTTACTTTGCCTCTCTATGCCTCGGTTTCCTCCTCTATGAGATAGGGATAGATATACCAGTTTCCTCATTAGGTTACTGTGAATCTAAATGATTCAATACATGTAAAGCATTTGGGAAAAATTTTGGGGAAAAAAACAAATGTAACTATGTACTGGATACATGTGGTTATGTCCCTAGCATAAATGAGTATTTAATATGTGGGGGGAGTTATTATCACTATTTGTGATATTGGCTGCATGTACATTTGTAGCACTTCCTGCAAGTATTGAAGTATGACCAAAGCTCAGGAACCTCTTGGCAAACTTCAGCACTTCTTTGAGTTGTGTGACCTGAAGAGCTCTAGGATAGTGTATTTGTAGTGACTAATTCTAAATCATTAAGTTTACCCTTTCACCTGTTGTAAAAAAAAAAAAAAATGACTTCAGATCAAATCAGTGCGCCACAGAATAACCTTAACAGACATATTGTGTTTTGGGTAAAACACATCCTCCTTAAGCCACTGCTCTGCGGGGATCCCACTATGCCATATTAAGAGGTTCATGATGGTGGCATCCTTCCCTTCTGGGACACATTAACCCCCCTCTTAATGCTGCTACAGGCCGGATGTTTCCTCCTGCTACTCTACAGGAGACTTCCCCCAGAGCCTCAGAGTTGCCTCACAGTCCTGATCCCCTGCTGGTTCAATTGTGGAACTATGCTGAATCCTCCCCACCCAACGGGCGTCCTCTCCGCTCCTCGCCTCTCCCCAGATCTTCGAATTTGGCTCCGCCATTTCCCATACCCAGCTGAGGAAAATCTTATGTGAAGGAATATATCACAATTGCCCTGAGTGGATTCTCAAGCCTTTTGAGCAATAGCTCCCACTTGGGGCTATGAACACTTGAGGCCACAGGGTTGCTACTGCAAAGCCATCCCCATAGAAACAGTGTAGGCTTCAACCCAATGGCAGCAACAGATTGCAGTTGAAATTTTGTCTCTGAGCCAGAAAAGTCAGAATCATAACTATAAGAAGGAAGAAAGCAGTAAGTAACCTCTTAAGATGTGCCTGAAGAAATCCTAAGGGTTTTTTGATTAGAATTTTCCTGAGAGTAAAAGATTCTGGATTACTTGCATGAGGTAGAGGGTCATTGGGTCACATTTGGGAGATGAAATTATCATCTATATCTCCTATGAGCTCTCTCTGTGTACACACACACATACACACACACACACACACCACAAGACATGTACTTGATCAAATCTTAAAACTCCTTTCTGAATTATAAATTTCACATTCCCTCCTTTTCCATAATTAGGGTTTCTGTTCATTTATCTGACAATCAGGCACCTTACTTTTCCTTCTACTTCAGAGACAGTGTCTTGTTCTGCATGTTCCAAAATTGGGGGGGGGTGCAGCGCTTTCTTTTTTGAGACTTTTGGTGTATCTGTGAAATTATGGTTATCATTGGGAGCATCAACAGATACTTATTCAGTAGGCTAGGTTTTCAGAAGTCTTTGCCTTCTTTTAAGCCATGTTTACCATATGTGATAAGCAAATGCTGAGCCTTTGTTGCTTTTTTATTTTTTTTTTTATTTTTTTTAAAGATTTATTTATGTATAAAAGTGCTGGGGTGTAGGCCAGAGGTGCTGGGGGGTGAGAGGATTCACCAGAGACAGAGCAGGGAGCAGAACAAGTGGATTGAGTGAAATACACTGCTGAGGGGAGTAGCAGGCAAGACAGGAGAGGTCTGCTGCACCATGTGGGTCAGCTCCAGGCTAGGGATCAAACTTGTGCTGCAGTGGCTGAGGATTGCTTCATAGTGCTGAGACTGAACCCCCTGCACCACCAGGGAGACTCTGTTGCATATTTTAAAAGCCCCATCTCCACAGTGCCCTAAAACTGCACCAAGAAGCAGTCTGAAAAACCTGTTTTACAGCCCTGTTTTTTCTCAGCTTCCCTGACCAGAACACCAAAACCTAACAAATAGTCATTGCACATAAGTGATGAGAAGGAAATAGTCTATTTACTTAAAAACTCTGGAGAGAAAAAACTTTTGTCTCTCCCCTACAGAGTCTAGAAATCTGGATAGAGAACTTAAAGGATGTGAATAGGGAAAATGTAAACTAGTACATCTGGGAAATAAAGAAAACGATCAGAAACCCAGATATTTAGTGAGAAGGAGAAACCAGGACAACAGCCAAACAGGCCTAGAGGGAGAAATGGAAGTTGGCAGACATCAAGAGCACAAGGGGGGATAGAAGGCAAAAGTAGCCTTTTTTTAAAAAAGATTTATTTATTTATGTATACAAAAACTGGAGTACAGGCCAGAGGTGTGGAGGGTGAGAGGATTCACCAGAGACAGAGTGGGGAACAGAACAGGCAGATTGACTGAAATACACTACTGAGGGGAGCAGCGGGCTAGTCAGGAGAGGTCTGCTGTGCCATGTGGGTAGCTCCCTGGCCGGGGATCGAACTCATGCTGCAGTGGCTGTGAATAGCTTCATAGGTTGTGTCCCAACCCCTTGCACCACCAGGGTGACCCAAAAGTAGCCTTTTGAGCACTCTATATTTTTTGTATTAGAAGTTGAGAGCATCATCCCTCAGGCTCTTAAGCTCTGAATCATTCAACCCCAGGTGCTCTCGGGTCAAATAGAAAACATTTCTGAGTAACTAGAAAGTAACTTCGGCTTGGAGTTATAAATACAGGATAAGCATGCAAAAACCAGGGTTTTCAATCCACTTTGGACCTTGAAGCTATGTGACCTTGGGCAAGTCCTTTCTCCCAGGGCTCAGCTTTGGACCTTTAAATAATCACACTCATCGTTAAGATTTTCAGAGTATCTACTATTTGTCAGGTATTCTGCAGACCGTTGATGCATTTTTTTTTTAAAAGAGGCATGTATTGTTTGTTTGTTTGTTTGTTTGTTTGTTTGTACATGCACTGGGTACAGTCAGAAGCACGGGAGGGTGAGAGAATTCACCAGAGCCAGAGCGGGGAGCAGAGCAGGCAGAAGGACCGAAGTACACTGCTGAGGGGAGCAGCGGGCGGCAGGAGAGGTCTGCGTGCCATGTGGGACCCTCCTCTGGTGGCTAGGAAGCAGCCAGGGATCGAACCGGCACCACAGAAGCCGCGGGCAGCTTCGCAACCTGGAGTTCAACTGCTGCTCCACCGGGGAGGCCCCGTTGATTTTTTAAAAAGATTTTTATTGGGGCCTCCCCGGTGTGAAGCAGGTTGAACGCAGTGCTGTGAAGCTGTGCACAACCTCTTCAGCATGGGTTCGATTCCCGGATGGCCAGGGAGATTCCCACATGGTGTGGCAGACCTCTCCTGTCATGCCTGCTGCTCCCCTCAGCAGTGTCTCTCAGTCAGGCTGCCTGTTCTGCTCTCTACTCTGTCTCTGGTGAATCCTCTCACCCTCCCCTCCACCTCTGGCCTGTACTCCAGTTCTTGTATGCATAAATAAATAAATGCTCCATTTAAAAGACATTTTTGTTATTATGGTAAAGTATTCATAACAAAATTTACCATTTTAATCATTTTTAAGTGTACAGTTCAGTGGCATTAAGAATATTCACAATGTTGGGCAACCAACATCACTATCCATCTCTTTCATCTTGCAAAACTAAGAACTCTTTCATCTTGCAAAACTAAAACTATATACTAGTTAGACGATAACTTCTCCAACTCCTGGCAATCACCAGTCCACTTTTTGTCTCTGAATTTACCCATTACAAGAGCCTCATACAGTGAACTCGTACGTTATTCTGCCTAACTTATTTCACTGGGCATAACTTTTCAAGGCTTTTCCGCACCTTTTCCATGCTGAAACTTAACCTCTCCAAGTTTCAATTTCCTTGTCCATAAAAATAAACAACCATTGTGCTAAGCTGTAACTTGTCATACTTGAAAACATGTATCAGAATTTTAGTCTCTTGGTGACTATACCCCTATTTTAAGAGAAATCTGAGCCTTTGAGAAATTAAGAGACTTTGCCAAGGTCACATAAGTTAGAAAGTGCTAGCACTGGGCCTCCCTGGTGGCGCAAGGGGTTAAGCACTGCACTATGAAGCAATCCACAGCCTCTGCAGCACGAGTTCGATCCCCGGCCGGCCAGGGAAAAACCCATATGGTGCGGCAGACCTCTCCTGTCTTGCCGGCTGCTCCCCTCAGCAGTGTATTTCAGTCACTCTGGCTGTTCTGTTCCCCACTCTGTCTCTGGTGAATCCTCTCACCCCACACACCTCTGGTCTGTACGCTACCTCTTGTATGCATAAATAAATAAATCCTTAAAAAAAAAAAAAAAGAGAGTGCTAGAAATGGGACTTTAACTTAGTTCTAGCTGATTCAGAACTGACACTCCCAATCACTCCACTCATTTGAGAGAGGGTCAGCTCTCTCTAAAGGAATATAAAGTCCCATTTGGCTCCCAAGTGGTATGAATTTCATCTTAAATTTCTCAGTCCTTTGCTTTCAGAAAAATGTCCACAAAAAAAACAGTTTCTTGTTTGATCTATTTCTTTTCTAGAAACATATTTTTCTCACCTATCACTAAATGGATAAATCATGGTGCCTATTTGTCTACTGTGTTGCAAACACCAAGGCATATTAGTAGGTGTGGGTAGCAAAGGATTATGTGTGTGAATGAAGGAAAGAGAGTGAGGAGGAAAAGATGAGACCATCTCACAAGTAGTCTATATAGCAGCAGTCACAGAACCAATTCATAATGGCAGACACTCTCAACTGGTGTTGGTCCAATGTTAATAGATTGTAGTTGTCTTCATGAGCGGATGATGCTTGAACTCTGTAGAACAAAACCTTTCATCTTAGAATTAGAAATACAGCTCAAGAGTCACATACCCTGGGAAAGACAATGACTGCTTAAATTCACAGTCAGGTACAAATCATATCAAATCCTATTCAAGGAAGCAGAATGTAAGATAGCCAAGTGTGTGTGGGTAGAGTAGAGAGGGGGCCTGGCAGAAGACAGCGATTAGACATAAGAATGGCTTATTTGTCCATGTCCTCATTTTGGTCAGGTTGCACAAGGTAAAATTTATAAGTATTAGGGTGGAAGGTTTGATGAAAGGGGAGTCCTCTGATACATACCGTGGTTCTCATTCTTGGTAGTACCTTGGAATCACCTGAGGAGATTTATAAACCTCCTGAAGCTTGGTCCTGCTCTCTCAGATTCTGAAACTAATTGGTCTGGCCCTTTGAATTTTACAAGGCCCTCCTGGTAATTCCAATGGACAACAAAGTTTGAAAACCAATGTTTAACAATCCCACAGTGGGCGTCCCCTGGTGGCGCAGCGGTTGAGCGCTGGCCTGCGAGGCTGCCTGCAGCCTCTGCAGTGCCAGTTCGATCCCAGCCACGGGCGAGGGTCCCACATGGCGCGACAGACCTCTCCTGCCACCCACTGCTCCCCTCAGCAGTGTATTTCGTCAGTCTGCCTATTCTGTTCCCCGCTCTGGCTCTGGTGAATTCTCTCACCCTTCCGTGCTTCTGATTGTACGCAGTGCTTGTATAAATAAATAAATCTTAAAAAAAATAAATAAATAAACAGGCATGTCCAGGTCTTAGTCTATATCCATGCCAGACTTTACCTGTGACCCAGGTTAGCTTACCTCACCTTATCTGCTATCTAGGGACACCATTACCAGCTTAGTTTATTCTTGTGTTTATGACTTCATTCATGTCTGCCTAAGAATCCTGCCCCTTTTTTCAGGACAGGCAGTGAGTGCAAAGTGCTGAGAAATAGAGGGTTCCTCTTACAGGTAGCTGTTGATCCGTCACCTTTCACCAGGGACTAAATTTACCTTATAGAAGAGTGCAGATCAAATTACGCATCAGAAAGCAAGTTTCATTAAAGAGCAAGAAAGGGAACAGTGTTTCCCAGGAGAAGATGAAAAGAACAGGATTTTTTTCTTGTCGGAAGACTTGACAAAACAGCAACTTGATATCAAATGTTCAGTGCTAATTAACAAATGCTCAGTAGAAACCTCCATCTGATTCCCTTTCCCTTACTGAGGCCAGAGAGCAAATGGCAGCTGGGAGCCACACAGGCCCCTTTCTCTAGCATCAGGGAAGCCACACAATGTCGATGTGCTGGAGAAAACACTGGACAGGAGTCAAAATTCTGAATGCTTGCTTTACTGAATTACTGTGTGAACTTGGAAAAGTCACTTAACCTCTCCAAGTTTCAATTTCCTTATCAATAAAAATAAACAACCATTGTACTAATCTGTGACTTGCCATACTTGAAAACAGATCCTCCTCTTCCTCATGGTGTTATAGAGCAGCAATGGCAAGGGTCAGGTCATCTGTTTCAGAGCCATGATTCACAGTACTAAGATTGTCTAAAGTTTCAAAACTTTGACTTAATCCAATTCAATGTTTTTAATTTTAAGAAGATGGCAAACGTTGTGTTGAAAAAGGAAATGTCTGTTTCTAGTATTATTTCAGCTCCCCCCCCACCCCCGCAAGGCTCCCTAAAGCCCTGACATATGCTAGTGATAACAGCCAATATCTTACCTCAGAAATCAATATGATTAATAAGTAATGTGAAAAACAGATCTCATTCAGGATCCACCGCCCAATTTAGTCTCATGTGTACATATTGATATTATTTATTGAGGTTTTTCAAGATTTTGTCCCCATGATATTTCTCTAAGGAAGATCGTGCAACTACAATGTTGTTACTACTTTATAGAAAGGGAAATGATAGCATAACTTGGTATGACTGACCACCATGCCTCAGTTTACCCGGTAGGCCATAATAGAACTGGCATCAGTAAACAAGTCATTTCCTGTAAGATTCTTAGCAAGTGGGAAAACCATTTAAGACTCATTTCACGTTGAAAGGGAATGGGGCATGGGGCATCTTACTGCTATTTATACTGTCTCTGAGCAGAAGGTGGTCTCCGTGGTGCTAGCAAGTGTGAAGTCACTTCTTAGGCATTCAAACCAGGTTGGGGCTGAATAGGGCTTCAGACTAGGAGAGGTTGTTTGCCTGGAAGCTCCTGCTGCATTTTCCCCATTGTTCCAGAAAGAGCTCCCCTCCCCCCTAAGTTAGAGCTAGGTGGGCCTATATAGGGTCTCTGCAGGCTAACATCTCCTCACACCCAATTCTCCTTAATAGTGACAGTGTGCCTGTGTTGCCAGAGGACAATGGAGGAGGGGGAGGAAGAATAAAGGGGGTACTAAATAGGAGATGGCTCCTTAAATAAGCATGAACTCTATAAATTAGGTGTGGGCTGGGTGATCTGTGCAGTAACTTGCATTCAGCTATTATTCTGGGGGAGGAGGGGCGGGGTGTAAAGGGGTTTAGTGTTGAGTGTTCCGCAGAGAGGAGTCCTGAAATGACTTCCTTGGAAATTCTACCTTGAAGCTTCCCACCTGAGAAACTTCTTCGTGGAGGGGGAAAGGGACATGGGGGTGAGGAAGACAGGACAAAACTTGGGACATTTTGAGGTCCCTGTGAGTTGACGAGAGGTGGATGTCCTGGGCTCCCCTCCCCACTTGGCCCTCCGACCTCTGAGGAGATCAGACCACCCTCTCTGGAGAGCACGTTTTCCAGGCTCAGCGGATCCTTTATCCAAAGAAAAATAAGAGAAGCCTACCGCTTTGCTCTATTGAGCAGGGCTGTTTCCCACTGTGCCCCCTTGAGCTTGCTGGGCGGGGGCGGGCAGGCCTGGGCAAAGACATCTTGAAAGGGGGGAGCTAGCAGAGGGCAAGGAAAGGTGGACCCCCATCCTGTCCCACAGCACCTGTCACTAGGACTTCGGAAACCCCCTGGGCTGCCACCCCCACCCTTCGCCCCCCTCCCCGCTCCCTCCGCAGATCCTGCAGCTCCTCCCCACGAGCTCCCCTCTGCAGCCGCTCCTCCCCCGTCTCCCGCTGGCTTTCTCGCTCCAGCTCCTCCCCTCCTGCGCCTCCTCGCTCCCCTCCCCCTCCCGGGCTGCTCCCTGCCCCCGCCGCCCGCCGATCTCCATCTCCGCAGTCTGGGCCGCTGGGTGCAGAGGCTGCCGCAGCCCCGGCGGCCAGTGCCGCCTCCCCCAGTCGCGATACCCATTGTCTTCCCCTCCGCCCGGCCCTCCACCTCCCCTGCAACCATGGCGCATGAAGCCGGGAGGAGTTCTCTTCTCGGGGAGCCCACGGAGCTTGGAGGTGCGGTAGGGCCCGGCTGGGGCCGGAATGAGCGGGAGGGGACGCGGGAGGGGGAGGGCGGGGGAGGACTTCGGGTGGATAGGATGAAAATGAACGATTCTCTGCATAGGCCCCTGTCCTCGCGCCCATGCAGTATGCTGGCTCGGTGACCGAGGTTGGGGGGTTGCGGGGGGGGGGGCTTTGGGAAAGGCGGTCGCTCACGCGTGCTCTCACCAACACCCCCACCCCGCCCTGCATGCTAGGGTGTTGGGACTGAGCTCTAAAGCCCCTTGCATGGCTTGATGGTGAGCTCATCACCCCCACCCCCAACTAGCAGTTACTGGGCTCGTTAATTAGAGCCTCTGTGTATCCATCCCACCCGCACCACCCACGCTCTCGCTTCTTGTTTTCTCCCCAGGTGATGCTAGTGAGGAGGACCACCCCCAAGTCTGTGCCAAGTGCTGCGCACAATTCTCTGACCCAGCTGAATTCCTTGCCCACCAGAATGCATGTTCAACTGAACCCCCTGTAATGGTGATCATTGGGGGCCAGGAGAATCCCAACAACTCTTCCGCCTCTTCTGAACCCCGGCCTGAGGGCCACAATAGCCCCCAGGTCATGGATGCAGAGCACAGCAATGTCCAGGATTCTGGGTCCTCCTCTGTGCCTACAGATCCCACCTGGGCCCCTGAGCGGAGAGGAGAGGAGTCTGCGGGGCATTTTCTGGTCGCTGCCACAGGTACAGCAACTGGGGGAGGCGGAGGCCTGATCTTGGCCAGCCCCAAACTGGGAGCAACCCCATTACCTCCAGAATCCACCCCTGCACCTCCGCCTCCTCCGCCACCTCCTCCACCCCCAGGGGTGGGCAGCGGCCACTTGAACATCCCTCTGATCTTGGAAGAGCTCCGGGTGCTGCAGCAGCGGCAGATCCATCAGATGCAGATGACGGAGCAAATCTGCCGGCAGGTACTGCTGCTTGGCTCCTTAGGCCAGACGGTGGGCGCCCCTGCCAGTCCCTCAGAGTTGCCTGGGACAGGGACAGCCTCTTCCACCAAGCCCCTGCTACCCCTCTTCAGTCCCATCAAGCCAGTCCAAACCAGCAAGACCCTGGCACCTTCCTCCTCCTCTTCCTCCTCCTCCTCCTCCTCGGGGGCAGAAACACCCAAGCAGGCTTTCTTCCACCTTTACCATCCACTGGGATCGCAGCATCCTTTCTCTGCTGGAGCGGTTGGGCGAAGCCACAAACCCACCCCTGCCCCCTCCCCGGCCCTGCCAGGCAGCACAGATCAGCTAATTGCCTCGCCTCATCTGGCCTTCCCAGGCACCACGGGATTACTGGCAGCACAGTGTCTTGGGGCGGCCCGAGGCCTTGAGGCTGCTGCCTCCCCAGGGCTCCTGAAGCCAAAGAATGGAAGTGGTGAGCTGGGCTATGGGGAAGTGATGGGTCCCTTGGAGAAGCCTGGTGGACGGCACAAGTGCCGCTTTTGCGCCAAAGTATTTGGCAGTGACAGTGCTCTTCAGATCCACCTGCGTTCCCACACAGGTGAGAGACCCTATAAGTGTAATGTCTGTGGCAACCGCTTTACCACCCGTGGCAACCTCAAAGTACACTTCCATCGGCATCGTGAGAAGTACCCGCATGTGCAGATGAACCCTCACCCGGTGCCAGAGCACCTAGACTACGTCATCACCAGCAGCGGCCTGCCCTATGGTATGTCCGTGCCACCTGAGAAGGCCGAGGAGGAGGCGGCCATGCCAGGTGGCGGTGTAGAACGCAAGCCTCTGGTGGCCTCCACCACAGCACTCAGTGCCACAGAGAGCCTGACGCTGCTCTCCACCAGTGCAGGCACAGCCTCGGCTCCTGCACTCCCTCCTTTCAATAAGTTTGTGCTCATGAAAGCGGTGGAGCCAAAGAGTAAAGCTGATGAAAATACCCCTCCAGGGAGTGAGGGTTCTGCCATCACAGGGGTGGCAGAAAGTGGAAGTGCTACCCGCATGCAGCTAAGCAAGCTGGTGACTTCACTACCCAGCTGGGCACTGCTCACCAACCACTTTAAGTCCACAGGTAGCTTCCCCTTCCCCTATGTGTTAGAGCCATTGGGGGCATCACCCTCTGAGACATCGAAACTGCAGCAACTGGTAGAAAAGATTGACCGACAGGGAGCTGTGACAGTGGCCTCTACTGCCTCGGGAGCTCCCACCACCTCGGCCCCTGCAGCCTCATCCTCAGCCTCATCTGGACCCAATCAGTGTGTCATCTGCCTCCGGGTGCTGAGCTGTCCTCGGGCACTACGCCTGCATTATGGTCAACATGGAGGTGAACGGCCCTTTAAGTGCAAGGTGTGTGGCAGAGCCTTCTCCACTCGGGGCAATCTGCGCGCACATTTTGTGGGTCACAAGACCAGTCCAGCTGCCCGGGCCCAGAACTCCTGCCCTATCTGCCAGAAGAAGTTCACCAATGCTGTTACTCTGCAGCAGCACGTTCGGATGCACCTGGGGGGCCAGATCCCCAACGGTGGTACCACACTACCTGAAAGCGGAGGAGCTGCCCAGGAAAATGGCGCTGAGCAATCTGCTGTTTCTGGAGGAGGGAGCTTCCCGCCGCAGCCATCCCAGCAGCCCTCCCCAGAAGAAGAGTTGTCTGAAGAGGAGGAGGAGGAGGAGGAAGAAGAGGAAGATGTGACTGATGAAGATTCCCTGGCAGGGAGAGGCTCAGAGAGTGGAGGTGAGAAGGCAATATCCGTGCGAGGTGATTCAGAAGAGGCATCTGGGGCAGAGGAGGAAGTGGGCACTGTGGCAGCAGCAGCCACAGCTGGGAAGGAGATTGACAGTAATGAGAAGGCAATTCAACAGCCTTCTCTGCCACCACCACCGCCACCACCACCTGACAGCCTGGATCAAGCACAGTCAATGGAGCAGGGAGGCAGTGATGTCGTGGGAGGCGTGGAAGAGGGGGGCAAACTGGAGAGAAGCGCAAGCCCAATGTCAGCACTTGCCATAGAAGGGGAAAGCAGCAGCACCGCCTTGGTGGAGGAGCTGAGCGTTCAGGAAGCAATAAGAAAGGAGCCAGGAGAGAGCAGTAGCAGAAAGGCCTGTGATGTATGTGGCCAGACCTTTCCCACCCAGGTGGCTCTGGAGGAGCATCAGAAGACCCACCCCAAGGAGGGGCCGCTCTTCACTTGCGTTTTCTGCAGGCAGGGCTTTCTTGAGCGGGCTGTCCTCAAGAAGCACATGCTGCTGGCTCACCACCAGGTACAGCCCTTTGCCCCGCACGGCCCCCAGAATATTGCTGCTCTTTCCTTGGTCCCAGGCTGTTCACCCTCCATCACTTCCCCAGGGCTTTCGCCTTTCCCCCGAAAAGATGACCCCACAATCCCATGAGCCTGATTTTCTGTACCTGCTGCTCTTTGACCCAGGGAGCAGAAACCAACAGTTCTCCATAAGGACCTCCAAGATTTTGAACCTTCATTTCTCCTTTTCTCTGAGTTAATAACATGTGTCCCTAGTGACTTTTCTCTAGTCCCTAAGCTTGGAAATCAGTGTGTTCATAGGGGGATGGCCCCCTGAGGAATTTTACTTCCTTCTTCATTCACTGAACCTGAGAAATATAGATTCCCTACAGCTTCCACATTCCTGAGGGGACACCTCTAGATTCCCTGGGATGACCCTTCTCCCCTCTTCTTTCTTCCTCTTGCTTTCCCTTTGGCAGGTGCACCTGAGCACCCACATTGGAATTGCAGCCCAGGCCAGAGGGGCCAGTAGCTGGCCCTGAAGGGCCCACGGCCACTCCTTTCTGGTGACCATGTCTTGTCCCAGACATTCCTGTCCAGTCGTTGGGGTGGATCCCCTGTCTTTTGGGGACCAATATTTTGTGTAATTGTTCTGCCTACCAAGCCTTGGAGCTCCAGCTCTACTTCTACTACCACTTCAGGCCTAGCATCGTCAGTGCTGTTTGGTCTAGAAACTGTGGTTGGGAAGGTGCCTCCAGCATCCAAGGAGAAGAGATACCCCCCCCCTTCCTATTTTGGCCTCATGCATCCAGGGCAGTACCTGAGAGCCCCGTCATAGAAGAGAAGTAGCAAATTGTATGTTCCTTCTCCACCCCCGCCCCCCAAAGGTGCCAGTAATGAAGATACAGCAATATCTGTTTTTATCTATTGGCTCAGCCTCATGGGGTAGGGAGAAACGAAGGGCATAAGACACTCTTCCCAGTAAATTCTTTGATAGTCACATTAAGGCCAAGATGTTGACTGGTCCATAGGCTAAGACATCTCCAGCTTCTCATGTTCCTTTATCATGGCCTCTCACAATTAAGAAACAAGATTTCTTGCCAAGAGGTCTTCTATGGGTCATTTTGAAAATGTGAAGTTATATCATTAACAGGCATTTTTGGTGAGGGTAGTTGAAGGAGTAAAGACGGAGAGTTGGGGAATGTTGCTAAAGCATAGGGCATGCTGGGAACCTATGTGATTAGGAAGGGGATATGATGTAAGGGAGGGGACCTTGAATTTTTGATTGAATGGACCATGGATGTTCTTTTGGACTAATAGTGACTTAGTGTGCAGCAGTGCACCGTGGCTCACGGGGGATTTCCTAGCACTAGTGTGCTTCTAGTTTTAGATAATTCCCTCCTTTATTCCCTGGCTCCTTGTATTTTCCTCAGCTTCCAGTCTCAAGGCCCGTTTCCTTCCCATTTTGCCTGTCCATAGACCGGGGCTTCTGTCTTTGCCACTGTCTGGTTCTTAGAGTCCCAGACTTTGGGAGATGAGCTCCAGGTGATGTTCTCCCTGCCTCTCCGTCTTGTAATGAGATGTAGTACTTACTCTTAACATAGGATCATTTGAAACAGGAGTTCTGCGGAGGAGAGAGTGACAGTTCTGCTACTGACTGACTTGAATGATGGTTTCTCCTCCAAAGGTTAGGCTCCAGAGCTTCTTAACATAGTAAAATGTGAAGAGCAAACAAGGGAGATATTAGTGTCTTTCCCTCTTCATTAAAGGTGTTTTAACCAAATATTTGTGTGTTTCTCCTTATTTCATAACTAAATAGCCAGCTGGTGTGTGATATGGGCATTCCCTAACATTGAGATTCCCTTCTCACTTACATCCCCTGCCAAAGCTGAACATATGGTGTTGAAATATTTAATTTATTCAGCCTTGTCCTAAAACAACCTCCAGTGAGTGTAATTTCCCTGGAGAAATGGAGTTTGTACTCTCAAGTGGCAGGGGATTTGCTCACTTTGTGTAGTCACTGTCTAGGTTTTCTCTTTGCCTAGAACCTTCTGCTGCCAGGTTTTGGGTTTTTTTTTTTAAAGATTTATTTTTATTTATGCATACAAGAGCTGGGGTACAGGCCAGAGGCGCAGGGGGTGAGAGGATTCACCAGAGACAGAGTGGGGAACAGAACAGGCAGATTGACCAAAGTGCACTGCTGAGGGGAGCAGCAGGAAAGTCAGGAGAGGTCTGCTGCGCCATGTGGGTTGCTTCCTGGCCAGCCGGGAATCGAACTCATGCTGCAGTAGCTACAGATAGCTTCATAGGTTGCGTCTTAATCCTTGGGCCACCAGGGAGGCCCCCCACTGCTATGTTTTTGTGTTTTGTTCAGAGGATGGAAGTGTCATTTTCAATCTAGCTGCCATCAGTTGATCTGCACACCAAGATGAATTAATCTTTTTTTTTTTTTTTCTTTTATAGAGGCATGTTTTATTTATTTATTTATTTATTTGTTCGTTTGTTTTGTTTGTACATGCACTGGGTACAGTCAGAAGCGCGGGAGGGTGAGAGAATTCACCAGAGCCAGAGCGGGGAGCAGAGCAGGCAGAAGGACCGAAGTACACTGCTGAGGGGAGCAGCGGGTGGCAGGAGAGGTCTGCACGCCATGTGGGACCCTCCTCTGGTGGCTGGGGAGCAGCCGGGAATCGAACCGGCGCCGCAGAGGCAGCGGGCAGCCTCGCAACCCAGCGCTCAACCGCTGCGCCACCGGGGAGGCCCAAGATGAATTAATCTTTATGATCCTTGACATCTGATGTAAACAGAAGCCTAATTTTGACCTTAATAATTTCTGCCAACGAGAATATAAAGATTGTTAGCAGAGGGGAAGTACATTAAGGGGGGAGCATGAAATGAAATATAATCTCTCTACAACATGATAAGGCTCAGATTTGATTCCAAGACTTTGCTTTCCTAAAAGACCATTCGCCATAATTTTTTTTTTTTTTTTTGCATTTGATAGATAATATCACTGAATCTTAGTGCTAAGGAGGTGGAGCTGGTAAAATGATTTCACAGAGTCACTAAACCAAGTGGCATTAGAGTTGGTTTAAAAAACCAAGTAGGCAGTCTATTGGGATTCTACTTCCATTGATCAGGAATGGTGCCTGCTTCCTGCTACATCATTAAAGACTGGAGGGCAGAGGCAAAGAGGTGAGTAAACCTTGGCTCAATTCAAGGTAAAGAACCGATGTTTGACTCTATGCAGGTTCCCTTTAAAAGATGAATAGGAACGTAAGGGAATCTTGTGATGTCAAGTGGGGAATAAACAGCCCTTGTCTCTTTAATTCCTGGCAAAGCTTTATAAATCTATTTTGCCTTAGCCTGTGGTAGGAAGAGGGTCACAATCCTATTCCCTTTACTTCCCCCAACCCCTTTGGACATAGATAATGCCATTTAACTAATTAAACTAGACTTGCCCTCTCTTTAGATGCCACTTCCCATTAAAGTAATGACTGTGAGGCTTCTGATGGGTATTTCCTTGGGTAGAGTCATCCTGGGCTTCACTTCCCACCCCACACCTCTCATTTTCTCTGTCTCCTTTTTATTTTTTTTCTCCTGTTTTTTCTTTTTTTTTAAAAAAAAAATATTTATGCAGGGCCTCCCCGGTGGCGCAGCAGTTGAGCGCTGGGTTGCGAAGCTACCCGCAGCCTCTGCAGCGCCGGTTCAATCCCCGGCTGCTCCCTGGCCACCGGAGGAGGGTCCCGCATGGCTCCCCTCAGCAGTGTCCTTCGGTCCTTCTGCCTGCTCTGCTCCCCGCTCTGGCTCTGGTGAATTCTCTCACCCTCCCGCGCTTCTGACTGTACCCAGTGCTTGTATGTACAAACAAACAAATAAACAAATAAATAAATAAATCTTTTAAAAAAAAAATTTATGCATACAGGAGCTGGGGTATAGGCCAGAGATGTGGGAGGTGAGAGGATTTACCAGAGACGGGGGAACAGAACAAGCAGACTGACTGAAACACACTGCTGAGGGGAACAGTGGGCAAGTCAGGAGAGGTCTGCTGTGCCATGTGGCTAGCTCCCTGGCTGGCCAGGATTGAACTCATGCTGCAGAGGCTATGGATTGCTTCATAGTGTGGTGCTTAACTCCTTGCGCCACCAGGGAGGCCCTGTTTTTTTCTTCTTTCATTGACCTTTTTAATCTAACAGTTCTTTCTCTTTTCTAGCTTCACATTTAGTTTATTCTTTCTCAGAGCCTCTGTTTCTTCATTCTTGCAGCACCCTTATGCTCACCCTCAGCCCCACCATATCTTATTCACTTTTCATAGGCTCATCTTTTTGGAAGAGGAATTAATACTAACTTACTGGGTGTGTAAATAAATGCAACTTGAAAAACAACACAAAATAAATAGTGGATCCAGTTCAAACTGGGTACGTAAAAGTGCTGCTATTATAAGAAGTGAGAGATTTACTTATGAATATTTGAGGATTTCTTTGGTTCAGACATGTAAGTGTTGGATAGGTACAAAAATAAATGAGATACATGTCTGTCTCTAGGGAAGCTCAATTTAGGAAGAGGGAAAGTGTAAGCATTTTTATTGGTAGTAGTAAAGACTATGATAGGTACACAGTCTCTGGGGGCTACCAAAGAAATCTTTTGGGAAAAAAAATATGCTTACAAGAGCTGGGGTGTAGGCCAGAGGTGTGGGGGGCGGGGGTGAGAGGATTCACCAGAGACAGACTGGGGAGCAGAACAGGCAGATCTATTGAAACACACTACTGAGGGGAGCAGCGGGCAAGATGGGAGGTCTGCTGAGCTATGTGGCTTAGCTCCCTGGCCAGGGATCAAACTCGGCCCCATCGAAATAATTCTCAGTGCAAAGTTAGAAGGGGGAAAGAGTGTACATAACCACTCCCAAATATAATAATAACCACTCTCAAATATACTAATTCAATCCATAGAACAACCTAAAGACCAATGCAGTTACCATTTAAGAACATATTATAGGACCTCCCTGGTGGTTAAGACGCAACCTATGAAACAATTGCTGCCATTGCAGCGTGAGTTCGATCCCCGGCCAGGTAGCTAACCCACATGGCGCAGCAGACCTCTCCTGACTCACCCACTGCTCCCCTCAGCAGTGTGTTTCAGTCGATCTGCCTGTTTTTCTCCCCACTCTGTCTCCAGTGAATCCTCTCACCCCCCACACCTCTGGCCTGTACCCCTGTTTTTTTGTGCATAAATAGATGGATCTTTAAAAAAAAAAAGAAAGAAAGAAAGAACCTATTATACAAGATCCACCAGGTCTCTTTTGACAAACACAGAGATCATGCTGCTTCAGAAATGCCTCTTCAAAAAAGAACTGGCTAGGGCCTCCCCGGTGGCGCAGTGGTTGAGCTCTGGGTTGCGAAGCTGCCCGCAGCCTCTGCGGCACCGGTTCGATCCCCAGCTGCTCCCCGGCCACCAGAGGAGGGTCCCACATGGCGCGCAGACCCCTCCTGCCGCCCGCTGCTCCCCTCAGCAGTGTACTTCGGTCCTTCTGCCTGCTCTGCTCCCCGCTCTGGCTCTGGTGAATTCTCTCACCCTCCCGCGCTTCTGACTGTACCCAGTGCATGTATAAAAAAACAAATAAATAAATAAAACATGCCTCTACTAAAAAAGAAAAAAAAGAAAAAAAAAAAAAGAACTGGCTATCCAGCCATAGGAAACCTGGTTAAAAACCTCCAAATGGAACATGGGACTCTAATGAGCATTTTTTACTCTGAAACTTCCTCTTGGGCTGACAAACACTTTGTCCGGTCTACATTAAGTTCTGTCAGCTCTACCTGTCCAATTCTGCTTTTTCTTCCTTTTCCTTTCACAAGCATTACTTCCCAAAGAAACTTTTAGGCTCTCTGCTTCTTGGAGATTTCAACCCATTCCAAAGCCTCCTCCTCACCCTCCAAAGGCCTCAATTCTGTTAGCACATTTTCATTTATAAATTCCTGCTCCTGGGACTCTGGTTACTGTACCTGGAACTTAGTAAAGCAGGTAAAGTCTATTTCCTGATCCCCAAAACTGGCTTCATTAGACCTAACTCTGACTTCCCCTTACATTCCCTTTGTCTTTTCTAATGTTTAGTTTAACAATATTAGATTAACCACAGTGCACATTTTACTTTTGCGGGGGAGGTCATATAATGAAAAACTGATAAAGGACAAAATTAAAAATAAAACAAAAATATTTGGCCAGAGAACCAAATCAAGTCAGTACTATAGATGTTTCGGCAATCCCTTGTGTAACAAACCACCACAAAATTTACTGTTATGAAGACTCTATAAGGACTTTCTCTTAAAGTAAATCATTCAAAATGGCCATCATGAACTCCTAAAATTTGCCAAATTTACTACTTTGTAAGTTTACCCAAAGTGAATGTGCAAAAACTTTTGAGAGCTGCCCTTGATTTGGCTGACTTTCAGGAATACCTGGGCTATTTTGACTTCCTCTGGTAAGAGGAAGGTAATCCAAGTCTTCAGTATCCCAAACCTTACAAGGACTAAACCTCTTTCACTAGGAAATTCTTCCTTTTCTAGACAAAATGCTTATACTGTTGAACTGAAGAATTTTATGCCTTTAAGGTGAATGAATCCCCTTCATCTTCTGCAATGCTATATCCAGTACTCTCCCAAGACTATTTAATTTGCAGCCATATAATTTCTATATTTCACTCATATGTGTTAAGAACCTTTAAAGAACTGTGATCTTATAACGTGATGGATTCAAACTTTGAACAATTAACAGTTCTACAATATAGCAAC